GTGGGGGGGGGGGGGGTAGAGAAGGAGGAAGGGTAAAATTATTTAGTAAACTATTGTACGAAAAAGAATCTATCTAAAGCTGCATATGTTGATAAAAGAAAAAAAATTTTGTCTTATTTTCTATTTTACAATATTTCCTCATTTTTTCAAATTTAAGAAAACTTGATTGTTAATATAATAAAATTATTTACGAAAATTAATTACGGAGAATCACAACTAGATGATGTGACGTACAGGAAAAATTATTTAAAAGTAATACATAAAAAAAATTAAGTATCAATTTGTTAAATCCTGCATGCCTAATAAATATAAGAAAGATATCTATCCTATTTAATAATGCTGAATTTCAAATTTGGATGAAAAAAATTAGCTTAATTTATAAGCGTAAAAAGTACAGGTATTTTATATGAAAGTATTATTGATTCGTTAAATCTCTATTAAGCCTAATATAAATGTTGACATTTTCTCTAGAAACATGCTTTTATAAAATGTGAATCAATTGACACGTTAGATCGTATAATATTTGTTACGTTCAGCAGAAAAAGTAGTTTAGCAAGCACTTTACGGTCAATAGCTTTGCGATTGTTGTAAAGCTTTTTGCTGAACACTCTCTCTCAGAAGTTTACGCTGTTTTAACATAGTTACTAAGCGGTCCTGCGTATTAAAAATATGCTGGCAACTGCTTAGTAAACATATTGGAAAAGCGTAAACACTGCTGGTGTCGTTCAGCAGAAAATCTGAAAACAGTTGCAAGGCTGCTGGCAGCGTAGCGCAAAATGCTTACTAAACTGCTCTTTCTGCTGAACGCAGCCAATGTTACAGCAGAGCGCTTACGCACACTATCGGCTGGATTTAATTAATAATTATTTTATTAAATATTGCGCATTAAATAGTTCAAGATTTTTCAGCATAAATATTTTTAACGAAGAATATCTCTATATAATGCTCTATATAGTGTATGTGAATTAATACGTGAATACATGATTTATATATATATAGTCTGACAACCAAAGATAACGTTCGAGTGCATCAAATTGAATAGGAAGGTCCTTTACCGTTTTATAAAAATAATTATTCAGAAATTAATGAGAGAATATTAGCGAATGAATGTATGGGAAGCAAATGGTGCGTAATGCTGAATTGCATACGCCTTCATTATTTAACATCATATTACCTATTACCTGTTACCAGGAGATTGTTAACAGATTCGAGACATCTTGGAAGAGACCTTGCATACAGAATTCGTCCTACCATTTCCCGTACGTGCATTCAGTTCTTAATATATTTCTTAAATAATTCTTAAATAATTATTGTAAAACGTGTAAAATGGTAGAGGATTTTTCTGCTCAGTGCTCTATCTACACACGAGTGTTGTCATTATATAATTGTCAAACACCCTGAATATACTATTAAAATTTTGTGTGTGCGTGCGCGCGCGTGTGTAATACGTATATTTTACGTAAGATATACTTCTTTCCTTTTGAATTAGTTGTCAAAATCTTGTATATTTTGTACTTAAGGTCGATTAATTAGCATAGAAAATTAGCGCGAGTGAAAATCGTTCGATTAATGAAGCGATCATCGTTATTATTCTCGCCACAGTGGTAGATAGATAAAGGCGTAAGAAGACTTGATACTATCTCAACATCTTATAGATAATGAGACTGACTTTTTATAGAGAACAAATTTTAAGCGAATATGTCGGAGTTGCGTGTCATATTGTTAACTAAAAGAAGGCAATCAGGAAAGGCTATACTCGTTTCGAATCTGCGATGAGTTGAGTGAAGACAAAGCGAAATGTCTGCGAGAATCTGTGATTTATGTAAAGAAGGAGGAAAATAGAAACTTGTCCTGATCATTCACGTTATAGAGACAAGTTGGAAATAAGATCGTCATACACATCTCTACTCTCTAGAATTGCTTGATTACACAATTATATTTAAGTGCTACGTTAAAAATGATTCTGAAGCAATAAAAAAAAGTAAAACTAGAACTCTAATTATCGTACCGATAAAAGTAAGCAAAATTTTAACTTAGCAATAAACATTTATTTTCATAAGCAGATTACTATCGTTTTGACGTCATGTATATGTAATTTGTATATGTGTGTGCGTGTGTGTGCGTGCGTGCGTGCGTGCGCGCACGCGTGTGTGTGTGTGTGTGCGGCGTGCGTGCGCGCGCGAGTGAGTGCTGCGCGCGCGCGCTTGCGTTCGCGCGTATACATGTAACAACGTCTTCAAAGCTACCTGAAAACAACTATTATTATAATTATTATCATTGTCATCATCATCGTTAAAATTAATAAAATTATGCAATGCGTAATCATACAAATCGATCTACAAAATAGTGAAATTTGTTTATTATATTAACATAATTATTCTGTAAATATAAGAATATATATATATACACACACACACGCACACACGCGTGCACGTTTGTGTAAATATATCAAATCAACCAAGCTTGTGTAATTCGTAAAAGTCTCTGTTACGTTGATACGAGAATATAATGATGAATTGAAACAAAGTGAAACACTTTATTCAGCACAGAAGTGACAAATTCGTTATAAATATAATCGAATTTTGCAAGTGACGCGAGCGTTCAATCACATAATGATCGACATGGTTTCGTCGAGAAAACAATAATTAACACATATGTGATTTGTAGCGTTGCACCAATGGATGTGTACCAAAAGATTTAATAAAAACAAATATTGTTCGCTGGGAAAAAGATAACTTCATGGCTAACACTACTACACAAAGTTTATCATAAATGTGTTTTAATTTTACAGAAGGTATATTTTTGCGTTAGTATAGCTTTGTACTTAAAAGGATAATCGAATGTCGAAATATTATTGGAGAATATTTAATTAGTATAATATGAGACAGTCTTGTGCGTGTGATCAATCATATTATGTTACAACATGAGACACAGGTATAGAGTGTTAATTATATTATGATCTTTCAGATTTTTTAATTATTTGAGACTTAAAATCTCTGATTTTGAATTATACTCGAAACTACTTAATATATTTGAAGTGATTCGGTGTGAATCTACCCTTAAAAAAAAAAATATATATATATATATATGTTTTGAGTCAACCTGTTTGGAATCTATCATTAATTACATCGCGATTACAATATACAATCTTCTTGTACGATTTTATCGATGAATTTGGCCGACCACAGTGTTGCCCTTCAAAAGGCAGCTTGCATTTATAAAAGCAAAGTGCCCGATGACGAGCCGCAACGTAATCGCTCGTTGACATCTTTATTCACTAACACTATCTTGCACGTCAGAGGTAACGAAACGTAATAATTATTGATATTTACACATTATTTCAATGAGAATGTCGCTCACATATGAATAATATTATTGAATTGAATAAAAATTTCCTATTCAATATTCCTACGAGTCATTAATTATTATTATAATTTATATGGACGATTATACGATGTTGTTTATTATCACTTGACGCGATATATCATCTCGATAACTATTTCTCATAAAACTGTCACAGAGAGTGAAAAGTATTCATTCGACGGCAGAATACTCGAAGGAGAGAGACGTTGCAAACGATAGACGACGTACCCTGTAAACTGACGATTTTCAAGTTCGAACAGAGAACTTTATAATAAAATAGCCCATTCCACCCACAGGATGCTGCGGCCTAGAGATTAGCAGCGCTGCCGCTAAAAGGAAACAGGAAGGGGCGGATAGCAGTATGCAGACCGAGATATCACCTTAGTGCGAGCTTATCCTCAAGAACAACGTTCCACGCGTACGAGAGAACGAATTGCTACACTGCTTGTCTGTTCAAAGCACGTAGATTTTCGAAAGATTCTTGCGAATTAAAAAATTGTACGTAAACATATTTCTGCCGGTGATTATTGTACGCAACATCAAAAATCCGAATTGAAATGTCTCGCTGGTCAGTTTTTCTAATGTTACTTAAGCGGTTATCAAGGTCGAATGGTTTCTCTGACTCATCCTTTCGACATAGAGAGTGTTGCCCTTTCCCTTTCTCTTCCCTTTTTTCTCTCCCTTCCTTTCCCTTCTTCTAACCAACCGAAGTTCTCCCCAGGAAATAACAGCGAGACGTTTTGTATAAATCGCGCATCTGTCCCGCGTATGTTCTGTATGGGTAAAGAGCGACCCAAGTTCCATGGCTTCTTTCACATCACAGAACAAAGACTAAATTATTCTATTACAAATCTTATTGATTTTACAAATTTAAAACAGAATTTCATACATGGACATGTGATAACTTGACAATTACACATTGCCGTTACATAAAATCATGCAAATACATCTTCGACTTTATATAAATTGAGCGCTACGACCCATCATAACGATTGTTAATTTTGCATACACACATGCAGAAACATAGACTAAGTTTACACGGCAACGTTAATCCGGTTTAGTAACAACTGTAATAATAACTTCTTTATATTCATGTCTGTTTACACAAAGTGATTTCAAGCAATACCCACTATAGAATTTATTTGTATAAAATTGTATAACGTGAGCGTACGTTACAAGAAAAACAAACAGCCATTTGAATATTTTCAAGTTGGCAATGTAACTGTTAAAACGATTTTACTGTTCACATGACTCCTCAAAACCTGTAAGTCCTCCTTTTCTTCAACGGAAGTAAAATACAACCGGTATTACATCGGTGTAAAGCATAGTTTATACGACATTTAACAGTCGTATGTTGTAATATCGGAAGTTACTAAACCGGTTTTAGGCTATGTAAACTTTGTCACATATGAATTTATGTATTTTATATTGAATGCAATCAATCAATATTAATTTATATGTGTGTGCGTGGAGGAGGTGCACATGAAGCTTATCCGATAATCCGTAAAATGTCTGATTTTGTTACAAGAAACACAAGAATAACAATAAGAATAGCAATAAGACGTGCTCTCTGGCTACAAACTTTTTTTCAAGTTTGCTAATAAGAACTTGTTATCATATATAGTTGCAAATTATTTTACTTGTTTCATTCAATTATAAAAAGTAGGAAGAACAAAAGTACCTTTGTTAAAAGTAAACTTTATTCGCACACGCAAATGTTTACGGGAAGAAGAAACGTGATGTAAACTAAGTTTCTTTGTCAATTTTAATTATATAAAAGTAATTATAAATAAAGAGATTTTTATTGACGTCAAATTTACGTAGTATTCATATTTTTATCATTTTAACGCATCTTGATGCAAAATATCATTGAATGTTGCTTGTTAAGAAGTTGCGAGCAAGTAAGATTTTCTCAAACAAAGAAATTAATTTCATGTAGCATTTTTTACAACATCAAATTTATCACCAACTTATTATCAATTTATCAATTTACCATTTTCTTTTTTTGTTTTTTTTTTTCAACGAAGGATCAGATATTCGGAACGAAGACATAAAGAAAGAGTGAGAGAAAAAGGAGACGTGAAAAGGATATAAAGGCAAAGAGAGAAGCCGCGAACGAAGAGTATTGTTGAGACGACTCACACCGTTTTAGTTTATTTTTTTCAGGCCGAATCCCGATGATACGCGATTTGAGGTCAAGCTTTTAATGTTCGTTTACGCGCAACGCCGGCCGATAGAATACGCAATTTAATTTATTCATTTTCAGTCCGGATATTTTTATAACGAATTTAGGGTCTCTCTTGAACGTGAAATTATTTAATGGACGTTTCGCGGCACACAAATGCGAAGAAAACGATCAGCGTTTTTCAAATTATTTGCATGCGCTATTGGAAAGCCATGTCTTTCGTTCAAGAAAAACGAAAAAAATGTTGGACACATTCCGGCGATGAATTCAGGCAATTCAAACGAATCTAACAGTCGATTAATTTATGATATTTAGAAATTTAAACATCCGACCATTTTGAACACGATGGAAAGTTGGAGCAAGAATAATATTCATCGTAAAAGAATAGACATCTAGTTCACTAGACCCGTAAAAGAAGAGCCGACTTGCTCGTGATATTTGAACCGTTTAACTTGTTCGATCACCTTAATGAGTCCTGAGCACTAGTCTTCATAACCCGATAAATTAATGTTCGCCCCAAACGCTTTGTCCATGTGCGCGACATCCGGGTACACCACAGGAAGGAAGATACGTATTTCTTTCGCGCGACAACGGATACTTAAAATCTAACCGCAAGATCTCTGTTTGATGATAAATATCGCGCAACAATGGTTAAGTATTCCCGGCACGAAGCGAAGATATGTAATACATGCGGGATCCCGAGGGCGACTGGTTGTAGATTTTAGCGCGAGACAGCGGAGAGGGAGCGAACGAAGACGCACACGTGGTACACCCCGTAGGTGGCTTTCTTCTTCACTCTCAATTACCAGCGTGAAAATCACAATATAACGCGGCGAGCACAGTTAGAATACGATTTTTCTTGAAGATATAAACTTTCACAGAAATACCATTTTAGTCTGGCTAGGACGGCGCTTATTGTGCAGTCGAAGCTTTCGGACCAAATGGTTGCGTTCAGCGAACACAATGGTTTAGTAATTTGTCAACGTAATTCAATTTGACAGTAAAGATTAATAATCAGTGACTGCTTACTGATCGCTTTTTCTGCTGAAAGCAAACCAATGGCCATATTCAGCAGGACGTTTCATTCGTAACTGTTTCCCGAACTGTGGTTGGATTATTTTTTTAGATCTAGAGGACAGTAACCCATACAAGAAACTTCCAATAATTGTGAAATAAACGTTCTGTTGAATATCGGAACGCAGCCTATTGCGCTTTGTTGACTCGGTCAGCATTTATTGCACACTGGGTGACATGAACTATAAATCGCAGTATTGCAAAGATGATCGGGTGAGCAAATCGAAAACGCCATATGTCGTCCATGCATGCATACCCGCTGTAAAATAAATTATCCACAACCCTTACCGTTAGATGTTACATGTAAGCGGTAAGAAAGGAACATTACGTCAGCAAGATTACAATTTTGTTACATTTTTTTTACGGTACATACAAGATTTAACGAAGATACACAACATGACGCACGTGCTTAATGAAAATTCAAAATGAAACTATAGAATATTTATATAAAAATCAATTTGCTCGAGGTTTCTTCTTCATCTCGTGCGTGATTCGCTCGACAATAACATCACCATCGGGTTTAACTGTGACATCAGTATCCCTCACGAACGTCGAGAGCTCTCCCTTTACGTCACGATAAGCGTTTGGTCTCTTTGGATTTACAACTGGTGGGTCCACTGTATTCTTATCCTCTGAAACATACATTCGAAAGATGACTTATATATTGGTTAACAAATAGAACAATCCGATTTTCAATAACAACTTACTCAGCGTCATGTAGAGCGGTAATCCTAAAGTGGCCATGCCTTTCAAACGAAGAGAACGTATGTTCGCCCAACCACCAGGATAATTCTTACACAAGTTTTTGCAGATAGCCAATATATTTTCCAAAATTTGATTTTCCTTCATCAAAGTGTGTCCTACCTGTACCACATGAGTGTCACCATAAGAATGAAGTTGCATGCTGGTTTTTCTTAAAGCATAGTCAATTTCATGCTTCAGGTCTTTGCTATTCATTCTGACAGAGGTCGGTAATTTTCGTTTCGCGGAGAATTCCTTGCCCAATAAATGAGACATATGACCTGCAATGCGACTGTCTACAAGAAAATAATCATAACTAGCGGTGAGCCTTCGCTTTAGTTCAAACTGATCAAATTCTGTTTTGACACGATTTATGGGTATTATTTCATTTATACGAGTACAGCCGTGCTTTGTCAGTATGTTTGTATAATATTCCACAGTCTGCTCATAATCTTTCTTCCTCCCTTTCTCTAAGTCACAAACAAACAAGGCAACTTCATCATCAGATGTCACTATAGAATATGGTAATAATCTGTAAAAGAATATAAATTGAAAATATTAGATTTTAGAAGATTTAGAAAATATTAGATTAGACAGCTCAATGTATATTATATATATATATATATATATATATATATATATATATATATAT